ATCCTGTTTGTAACAAATAGCACACCCATAAAACCTACCTGTTTAGCACACAGTAGGTTTGGGTATGGCTTTGTCCTGCTTGTGATGCATTTCTCACAAGCTAACTACAGCCATTTCAAAACTGATATACGCAAATACTTATAGCAGCTGGCTTTTCAATTCAGTTTTTTCCCCTGCAATTGGGACTTCTGATTTCCCCTTCACAATTTCTAAACTTCCTTATTCTTTATCTTAAAATGAAACCATTTTGCTCTAGTCTAAATCCCCCTACTAAAAACAAAATAAACTCTAGATTTAGATAGATGAGATACAGTAGATCCTTTTGTCTGACATTCACACACAGTGAAAGTAGTACTGAACTGTACTACTCAATATCCAGTTGGAATTCTGAGACACAGGAGTTGTTTTTCAAGTTTATAATTTGATTCTGGTGCTTACATCACTTAACATTTACTATTTGACACAAAAGAAAGGACAAAACTTCTCAGTCTATGGTCACTGAAATTAAGGATAGTGAAATTACCCTTCAGCTATTCAGGATATAGTCTACATTATGAATAGTCTAGACCTTTGCTTATGTTATTTTAGTGTGAAATAATTTTGTTTTTGTTTTGAGTAATACCTGAATTTTGTAGCACAACACCTGTGATTTCGTTTACAGGTGGACTGTAAAAGTTCAGTATATTAGCAATGGCGTAAAGCAGTCCTCTTCTTTGAAGGCCTTGTTAATCTTAGCATCTTCAGTAGAAAACATTTCCTGCTGTAAAATGTGAAGTTTTGAACACAAAGAAAATCATTGCTCTTTGCTTTACTACAACCTTTGAACCCATAACTGCGTAACCCTTTCCTTTGTTTGAAACTATAAAATGGGACTTGTGGATCTTAAAAATACAGATCTTTGTATTGTCTCTGTATTTATATCAATATACACCAATGTATCTATGCTTTCTCAAAAGCTGAAATTGATCTAATTGTCAATGTTAGAATCAGACCTCTCTAAAAATACTTGAATTTTTATTTGCTTGTTTGTTTAGTGAGTCCAATGATTCAGTTACCTCGGTCTTGCTATAACTGAACAATATTTTTACAGATGGAACTAGATTGAGTTTATTGTGAAAAATACTTGAATGTCCAAAACAGGCAACAGAATCCCTATGAGTAAGTGGACATATGCAAATACATTTACTTTGAAGGTCTAACAAAGGTAGATGTTATTAATTCAATTGTGTGAGAAAAAAGGTCAGCAGGAATATTTTATCACAAAGGAGTGTGATTTATTGCTGACCTCCTCCTTCTAAGTCTACAAAAGCTCTGTACATCAAAGCTGTTACTCTCCTCAAGAGGGGCTGGCGAAATACGTTTTACAGGGTTTCCTTTTCTGGGACAAATGACCATGGTAAATGGTCATGGTTTTCAATGCACTTCCTACTCATGCAATCTGATGAAGGGAGACAGAAAATGTTGTGTTGTAAAATGTTGTAATGCTGACAATGATTGCAAGGTTCTTGCTGGCAGAGTTATTTAATCCATAGCAGCGGAATTCTAAATTGTGGTGAATTTGTACTTTTTAGCAGTCATTGAATGTTTATGGCTTCACCCTCAAGCAACTTAAAGATGCTGTAGAGCAAACGATGTAGCATATATAGTAATAACCATTTTTATATATATATATTTAATGCAAAGCTGCAAACTCAATAAATTAGGGTAAAAATGCTCAGTGATAAAACAGTAATGCCTTGCTCCCATCACTTGGGTCTCCAGCTTCCCTGTAACCCCAGAATGGAAAAAAAGTGGTTAGAAAATGGATGGATAGATTGATTAATTATTAAATCATACAGTACATAGAGTGTTACCTATATAGTATGATTGAGTTAAACTGAGCCAACAACTTTGACCGAGGTCTACAGAACCACAGGTTGACCTGACTAAAATGCAGACCTTCAACAGATTTAGATTGACAGTCGCACTGGGCTGTTGTCCAAAATGAAAACTAGAGTTATCAGATGGAAAAGCCATTATGCTGTTTTTAACAGGTAAAGTTGTTAGAAAATCCCCAAATCAGCTTCTTGTGTGAATGTGCTTGTGTAGGAATTTGTCCAGCAGTCCGCAGAAGCACAATGATCACGCTTTTTTGAAACAGTCCATCTTGACATTAGGTAACGTGAACCAATGGACTGATTTAATTTTTATTTGGCAGATCTGAGAGACAGTTATTCTAGAGAAAAGCAATACACCTGCCTAAATTGGTGACTAATTCAACAGATGCCTCCAGTCAGTCCCTTTCCTTTTTTAGTTCTGCATATTATGTTATTTATAAATCTTGTTATAGTCCCTGGGGCTTTTCAGGCACAGCTGTTGGAATATTTATATATAGATATATCCTATTTATATATAGATGTATCCAATATGTAAAAGTGTGAATGGGCTTTTACTATCTGTAACCTCACTTTGTATAGTAACCACTACAGATGAGAGATAGCGATTTATGAAACACATCCAACACTTGCTTTCTAGGCAGCCAAGTTTCCATAGATGATCAGTTATGTTTATTATTAGCACATTCTTTCTTTTTTGAATTTTGACATGCTTTCTTAAGATTCGCTCAGTGTTTCTTTTAAATATAAACAGAACCTTTGCTATAAGTTGTGAAGTGTTAAGTGGTAATAGTACGCGTGATGTTAAGACTTGGGAGTTTCATTATTAAGGAAAACTGACTTGCCACCCAGAGTTACCTGGTTCAAGTCCGTGCTGTCTGAGTTTTTGTAAGTTAAATGTCAAAAGAAGAAAGTCAAAAGAACACTGTGATTAAAATAATAAAATATTCCACAACCATGTCACCTTTCAATTCACAACTGGCAACCCACTGAAGCTAAGCAAAGTGTGAGCTTGGTCAGTACCTAGATGAGAAACCTCCTGGGATAAACTATGGTTGCTGCTGGGAGAGGTGTTAGTGGGGCCAGCAGGTGGCACTCACCCTTCTGTCTATATGGGTCCTAATGCCCCAGTATAGTGACAGGGACACTATGCTGTAAAAAGGCGCCATCCTTCAGACGAGAAGTTAAACCGAGGTCCTGACTCTCTGTGGTCAACTTTCCCATTGGCCCTTACCAATCATGGCCTCCTAATAATCCCCATCTCTGAATTGGCTTCATCACTCTGTTCTCCTCCTCACTAATAGCTGATGTGTGGTGAGCGTACTGGCGCACTATAGTTGCGGTCGCATCATCCAGGTGGATGCTGCACATTGGTGGAGGCGGATAGGAGTCCCCATTACCTGTAAAGATCTTTGAGTAGAGTGTAGAAGAGTGTTAGGTTTAAGGAATAGGTGTAAGGAATTATTATCACAAGCTTGATAAATGTGAAAAATGTTGTGTAGTAGGCAGCTCTAACAGAAATTTGAGGATATGCATTAAATGGATTAACGTTTAAATAAAAATCTTGTTTTGGTTTTAAAATTTAGAATTTTGAATGATCATATTAGTCTGCGCAATATTTTAGCCCCACTTGTTATTTGCAGTAATTTACGTTATGAAGCATGAGTTGCTTTAAGAAGCCCTTTAATAACCGTCTTTATATCCTGCCACCAAAGTGCACTGTACAGTATTTGAAGTTCCATAAAACAACAAAATTGAAAAAAAGCTCTCAACCATACCCAAATCAACTATAAATACAGGAAACAAACACTGCTAGTTTGTACCAGAAGTGTACAACAAAAAAAACAGCTCAAGCTGCTCTACAGGAGTAAGCTGTGTCTCCTGTAGGCTGGCAATGTCACCACCCCTTCATTCCTCTAGCCCACTTTTAAAGGATTGTGGAGCTTCCAGGATATCTGGACGGTTTGGAAGAACATGTCTGTACATCCTCATTGCACTACAAGAGTCATTACCATTAGCAAAGACACAAGGTGTAGCTTCTTCGATTATTCAACTTTGTACGAAGGAGGTTATGATATCCTAGTCTGCATGGTTAGGCTGTTGTTCCCTCAGTTGTACCACCTACTTTAAGATCTCTGTGTGTGGAGACATGTGCAGGCAGCTTCAGAACTGTGCCTTTAAAACACAATTTCGCTTTATGCCTCAGTTCTTAGCTAGAAGGTATGTTTCACACAGTTTGTTGTATAGGACAAGCAGGCATTGAGTCAGTCATTATTTTCTTCAAGAAGTGACGCAGCATAGACAAACATCTGCTGAGCAGCCACTCTCTCCCAGAGTCTTGCTGCTGCTGAGTTGTAGAGCTATTCCCCAATAGTAGTAGCCTTTCTCCCCTTTTATCACAGGACTACAATAAGCTATCAATCTCCTGCAACTTATGAAAAAGGTAAGAACTTGTACAACGTTCCACTGTTTCCTGTGTGGAATGTCCTACATTGTAATTCTTATTTGCTATTGTTACAAAAATACAATGTTATCTGTATTACTATTTCATAATTATGTATTGTGAACATTTAGTCTTTGAGACTATGATAGTAAAAAAGTAAATATAATTTAAGCCTTATTTACAGTACATCTATCATATTAGCTAAAGCTATCATATTAGCATATTATCATAAGATTTAAGCTTTGATTATCATGGCATAAGAAATGAGGAGCTAGTTCTGTCCTTGTGTCAAGCAGGACATTTGATCCATCTCTTTCCTTTGTTGTTAGAAGTTAATTGATCTCAGGATTTCATCTTGCTGTTTCTTGAAAGATACCAGAGTATCTACTGAACCTCTCCACCATGGCCCATTCGCTCGGATACACACAACCCTTTGTATAAAAACATCTCTTTGTGTTCTGAGATTTAAATGTACTTCCTCATACTTTTTCACTTCTGTTCCCTGACTTATGGTTCACCCTTGATTCTTAAGGCATTCACTGGGTTGGCTTAGTTTTTGAGGTCTTAATCATCCATTGTACAATTTTAGCATAATGTCCAATGATTTGTATTCTATGCTTTTAACTGCAGTACATATCCTAACATTCTGTTTGCTTTTTTTATTGCTTCCCCACATTGTCTAGAAGATGTAAATGGTATGTCGAAATTATTCTTTCTTATAGGCAGTTTCTTCTTCATTAGGATTTATCATTAGCATTTTTCTGTTACCTGCATGTAACACTATTAAATGTCATCTGCCTGGTGTTTTCCCAGTCTTGAATTTAGTCTAAATCTTTCATTAGAGAAGTATTAATCATTTGCAAGTATTAACAATAAAACACTTCAAAGTGTTATTTTTCTTACCTCTTGCTCATTAGCAATTTATCTCCTGATTTTTACAAAAGTAGGCAAACTGTGAACGTTTACAAATTTAGCTCGATTCAATATACTGGAATTGTGGAAAAGAAAATGAGCTTTTTGGTTTAACATAACTGTGACATTGCAGCTAATTTGACAAAGAAGCTTAGCACATTTTTCTCAGGAGTGATAACTTCTGTGGTCTATTTTTTTAATTCCCAGTTCTCTTTAAATTTGTGTAAAACTGTTGAACAAAAAAGCAAGTGAAAAGCAAATCTGATTAATCAAACGTTTTCTTGTTTTGTATCTACCTACTGTAGGCATTTTTGGAAAAGGCTTCCTGGAGACAAGTGAGAATGACCTTCTGTCTACTGGTGACAGTGCTTCAGACATTCCTTTCACAAGCACTCTTGATTCTGAGTCCTTTGGGACGACGCTAAAGAATGACCCGATCACCCAGTCTGTGTTGTTGACCACCAACAGTGACCAAAAGAGCAGAGGCATGGGTAACCTAGTGCCACGCTCAGAAAATGCCTCCTCAAGACCATTTATTCTGACTAAAGCTCCCAATGAGGACTCACGAATCCTTCTCACAGAGAGGGCTGACAGGGCCTGGTCCAGTCAGGCCTCAACCAGTGTACCAGACTGGATGACATCACTATCGACGCTAAATCCTCTGGTGCAAGCAACAACACAGGAGGCTGTCACTCAGCACCCTGACAAAGGTAGGATGATGTACTGTACATGTGCTCTTGAGAAAAATAGTTTATCCTAGTGATTGCTACAGTATAGTTAACCACACCTGGAGTCCTAAAAAAAAGAGATATAAACCTCTAATCTTTCCCTAGAGAAGATCAACACGACTCATTCAATTCTCAGTAGCATGAGTTAATCAAAAAGACTTAAGGAAGGCATTATTTACAGATTAACTAAATGGAGGACAGTGCTAAAAGGAGACTTGACTTAGGAGAACAAGAGTGTATAAATGAAAAATATGTTGTATTATGTAAAGTATGTCCCATATGCTATTATTTAACATAAAGACATGGATGCATGGAATAAAATGTCATGTAAAAAAACAAGTTTAACATAGTTTTAATACCATTATGGAATTAGTGTAAAATCAAAGGATATTTAAAGCAACTATAAAATAACTTATTGAATAGGAATGGAACTGGGAAATTAAGATCCTTAATATTCTTAAATATTGCAGGGATTCTGACCCATCTGTACTTTGATTATTCAGCTGGCCCTGATGCTTAACACCTGTTATAAAATTCAGCTTTAACTGAAACAGTCTTGAAATTAATTTGAACGTAATAATAATAATAATAATAAACTTTATTTTATATAGCGCCTTTAAAGGTGGCTTCTCAAAGCGCTTTACAGGATGGCAATAACAATAAATAAGAAGACTACAACAATAAATAAGAAAATTTCACAAGACAGGACACAATTATAATTACAACAATACAACAATAACAATAGAGGAGACCGTGGAAGATGGTATTAAGAAGAGCAGAGGGGTGAAGAATGGAAGCAGTTAAGTAAAGGCTTTTCTGAAAAGGAGGGTTTTGAGTCTGGATTTGAAGGAGTTTAGAGAAGGTGACTCTCTAATATCCTTGGGCAAGGAGTTCCAGAGCTTGGGGGCATAGCAGGAGAAGGCCCTGTCGCCCATACAATGTAGACGGGCTTGGGGGACAGTAAGGAGGGCAGAATTTGAAGAGCGGAGGTTGCGAGGTGGGGAGTAGGGCGATAAAAGTTCAGACAGGTATTGAGGTGCCAAGCCATGTAAAGCCTTGTAGGTGAGCATGAGGATTTTAAAGTCTACGCGGAATTTGACCGGAAGCCAGTGCAAGGACTCCAGGGTAGGCTACACATACCCCAGTGTCAGCTACAGTATGAGTTAACATGTGCCAAGACCAGCATACATTACTTACCTGTATGGAACCTTCTTCAACAGCATCTACTGGAACAGTGGAACAGACTTGCTTCCACCGACAGTATACGTTTAAAAATCATTTGTCTCATATTTGTTTTTATGTCATTCTTTTTCTGTTACAAATTCATTTTCCTGAAGAAGAGCAGTATCTTTCTATATCTGGTTCAAAGAAAGTCTTCTTCACTCACTTTTAGCATACACCATTAAGTAAAACGTAGGGAAAAATGTGATTTCAGGTTGTGGAAATACAGTATGCGAGTTCTGAAAAGAGATTACCAAAAATGTAACACAATATTCCCTTTGGAAAGCTCAGCAGTCTAAGGCTAGAAGATTTTTTAAAAAATGTTGTACTATTAATGTATTTTCCATTCATTATTTAACAAAAAATGAATTTAGGTTTTCGATTCACAGCTTATACTGTAGATTTTTAACATCAAATGTAATGTGAAACCTGTGACAGATGACAAAAATGGAATGAAAAATGTCATCTTATAGTTGCCAGGAAATAACTGTCTTTATAAAATAACAAGGAAGTGAACAGATGGCTTTTTATTTAAAACATCATTACAAAAAGTAAAGAAATTATGTAACCTTGGAATTGGTTTAATCGGAATCTCTCTTAATGTTATTTTTTCCCAAGGTCAGAGAACTGAGAAATTTTAAATACACTGTAATTTTGTAAAACAATGTGCTTCTCCACACTAACAAAGATAAAACTAAAATTATTGGTATCATTCTTTGTTTGACTTTATTAGCTTTGGGATGTGCATTATATTTGCAGAGCATGTACAGTACTGTCCAAAGACAGAGACAGTGACTGGAATTCTGATATTGCACTACAGTGTCCTACATTTTTGACCTCTGCAAGAAACACAAGACCAAGCCATCTTTATGGAAAGATCCAAACACTATAAAAATTAATTAACACACAAAGTTTAAGAAATTATTGGCTGTCAGAGGTGACAAAATCTGAGGAATTACAATCAACATGTCTGGACTGGCAATTACTGTGAAGAACAAGAAGGTAAAGCTTTCTATTAAATGTGCTTTACAGGACCATTTACAAACTGAGAGTGCTGGTTGTAATATTTCAATGTCACTCCACTATTTCAAATGATCATAGAATATCCTTGAATGTTTACCACAAACTATTGCTTACAATTGTCTCTGCTGCAGTGATGCATCTTTTATTTGTAATGAGGTGTTTGTGAAAGGTCATTTTACTGCAGCCATCAATTTTATGCTAAATTATGGGTGTTGAGAGGTTTAGTGGTACAGAGATCTACAGTGAATTTTGCATATGGACAGCCAGGTAGCTTGATTAGTTTGAACAAGCTTAGTCAATGTGAGTACTGTGAAATGTTATAGTGGTAGTGACAATAATAGCATAGTTATCATCAGTTTTCATTCTGTCATTCATCAATCTAATGTCAAGGCTTTAGAAGAGGGGGAAGGACAAGGGCTCACCTGTTATCCAGATCTCACTAGTTAATGCCTGGGTCATATCACATGCTTTTGCTAACTCTCCTGCAAGGAGCTTGCATCACATCAAAACACAAATGGCTCCGGAGGTGTTCATGCTGAGGGAACTTCAGCAAGCACCTCATGTTCTCCCAAAGTGGCGTAGGACTTGCTTCTGGAGACTCATGGCTTAAAACTATTGGTTTTTCCTAACTGAGTAGGTATATAATTGAAAAAACCAAATGTCAGTTCCAGATTTTAATATGGGGTATCCGGGTTGTCTTGTATATTTAAGCTGTGTCTAATTTTTTAAAAACATGCTTGTGAAAGTGCTGTCTGTTTGGTGATTTTATCTTTATTTGGGATATTTTGATCTTGGCATGGCATGGTAGTACAGTTGTGTAGTACGTATTGTTGCCTTGCAGCATTGGGGACCCCAGGTTCAAATCCAGACCTGAGTTGCTATCTGCATGGAGTTTGTATGTTCTTTGCATTCTCATTGAGTCATTTATCACCTCTGGTAGTTTTAATAGTTGTGTGACTTTTATTATATTGTTGCACTTTTGCCATGCAACCCTGTAATACTATAAGGTGACTTGGATAGAGGTGCTTTTTATATATACTTTTTTAGATTGTTATAGTAATAAGAATAACTCTCCAGCCTGCCTCACAAGTGTGAAGAGCTATGGCCAGCTGTCGTTTCATGAGTAATTTATTTATATAAGTGTAGGTATGTAAGTGTTTTCAACTTCTGAAAATGTTGTGGATTTCTGGTCTCCTTGGCTTTTCCTAGACACCAGTTGGCACGTGCCACTTTCTAAGATGCTTCTGCTGTCAATAGTGGTTTGTGCTCTTTAAACAGACTCACACATCAGGTACTCACATAGTGAGTGGCTTTACTTGAATCCAAGTGGAAGTGTCGTTTAGATAACATCGATGGCAGAAGCCAACATTGAATAAAAATAGTGTCAGTGAGTATTTTTACATAAACATTTGTAGTTCTGTGAACTGTATTAAAGAAATGTGAAATTAACTTTAAAACATCATCTAACACTTCTTTTAAACACCTGTATAAAATAAAAAGTACTTATATTTACAGCCCTAGGTTTCAAAACACAATGAAAAATAGTATCATCTATTAAAAAGAGTTTGTCTTTCTTTCTGAAATTACTGTGACATTTGCATTTGACCCCATCTTGGGGAAAATTATTCATAACATAAGATCTGGAACAAATTTGCTTCTGGCCACGGTCTATGAAGAAATCTTAACCCTGTGTTTTTAAAAATCAGCAAATGAAAAAGGTGGAAGACCTTCCACTTACAAAATATATACTGTATAATATGATATACACAATGTTCCTGTTGTAAATAAAATGCCAATTTACCCTATGAAATGTACAAATCAAAGTGTGCTGAATTAATATAAGTACATGATTTGTAAAATACAGGATTCATTACTCTGCAGATTTACTAATTGTACTTGGTTTTTGTCAGAAATATTTCAATCAAAATCTGTGCGGTTGCCTGGATTCTTTAAGACAATAAATTAACCAGTCCAAATGAGCAGGTAATATTGCAAGATGTGAACAGGCACAGAATAATTAAGAACAGAAAGTTGTTAATAACTGTTTTTTTTTTACTTTAAAGTTAAACAAGGCTGCTTTGACCAAAAATATGTGCTTTGTAATATTTTACACTTTTTATCTGTGAATATCCTGATAAATTATTTGCTTTAGAATAAGTAGGTATAAATTAAAAGAGAATAGGCAGAAACTTCAATCCTGAGGTAATGGAATGGTCACTCGTAAAATAGAATTACAGTTTTATTCCATGCTAAAAGGAGAAGAAACGAAACACGTTTCAGCTGTGAAGCCTTTCTCTTAACAATATGATACCAGACAAACACACTGTTGCAGCTCCTCGTTCTCCAACAGTGGCCCCAGACCTCATGTGTTCTTTTAGATTTGCTAGGTACATTAATCCTGTTGCAGTTATACCATTTTATTTTGTAAAGGATTTGAACTTCAGAATAACTGTTAAATTCCAGCACACAGCAAAAAAAAAACTTTAATACTGGCTTCATGTCATCACCTCTCTGTGTGATAATGCTGTTTGGAGCTTTGGAAACAATTCCTGTTAGTCCTGTTAGTGACTATCATGTTTCTCCTGTTACCATTTGTAAAATTGTTTCTAATTTTACATGCAAACAATCAGGTTCCAAAATAAGGACAAAAATACATTTTACTGTATTACAAATTATAAAATAAAATGAGCCACATTTTCAACACTTCCTACATCTACATGAAACTGAACTCTTTTGTTTTTGAATCCTTAGTTAATTGACCCTTAATGTTTGATGCAATTCACATCATCCCCTTTAAAAAACAGTATTGTCTAAATAAAATAATGATTTTGAGATGCCAGAGGAAAAGGGTTCATTATTAACATTCTCTAAAGTAAAAGCTTGTTTCAAAGCTGTTTGAGGGCCTAGTCCTTACATATATAGTATATTCTCTCCTCACAGCCCAACACAAAAGCCATGCTGGTAAGTTTTACTTGGCTATTCTAAGTTGTCCCTTCCTTCCTTGGTCATGGTCAAGTGTTCTTGGGCCTGCTTTGTGCTCCTATGCTTAGCAACTTTCTGATAATGGATGCTTGAACACATTATCTGAAGCTCTCTTGAACTGTGGAAGAGAATCAGTTTGACAAGGTTAAAGGAATCAAGGAATCACGCCTCTCACTAGACAATACCAATTTCAAATGAAAAGATCATTACAACAATCCCATTCCATTCTATACAGTAATATAAAATATCAAACTTATCAGTACAGAAGCATTGCACCAGAACAAATAACAGCCATTGAGTATGATAACAAAAAGCATTTTGGGCTTAAGATTACACATTTAGAATGCATAGACTAATTTCAACTAATAACATTGGCAACCATATCCCATTCCATATATCAACAAGATAGTTTTCCTTTCTCTCATAATGATCCAATTAAGCTGTTGATACAATTATTATATCTCATGACTGCCACCCTTCAATCCATTAAGAGAGATCGGTTTCATAGCAAATTTAAGACACACATCCGTACACAGGAAGATATTTGAATCGGATGGCGATAACAACCCCTGCTGTGAAGAAATGTTTATAGCAGTGTCATAAACAGAATGAGTTTGTAATGGCCTTAAGCCCAGCTAGTGCTTTCTCACTTAATTATGTCAAGCTTAGGACTTAAATAGAAAATGCCAGAAAAGGATACTGCAACATTCATTAAATCTTTCAAATTAGGACTTACAAACATTATATGATGCAATTTGTCTTAAACAAATTGAGTAGTGAGAGTCAAAACAGCCTTATATAAACGTTTATGGGTTAAAAATAACGAGATGAGATTTATTCACTCTTTTCTGCACACTGTGCACCACATCCTAAAAATGATAAAAGACGTCAACCTCTCTTAGAAGAAAAAATAAAAGAAATTAGTTTAAAATAGTTTATTAGTTTCACCTTGCTTGAATGTTTGTTATTGTTGGTGTTGTCTCTTTTCTATTAAAACTAATAATGTACATTTTAGCATTTGGTTTCATCCTGTACATCTAAAATAACTCATTGGCTGGTTTTCCTTTCTGTTACCCTTGCCTTTCAAGTTATTCTGCAGGTGTCAGGTGTGAGGCTTGCAGTGAAATTAGTGTTTTTCATGAATGGATACGTGTGGTCATGAGCTTGTATAGGTTAGTACAGGGTTTCATCATCCTGTAGATCACAGTTAAAAGTGATTGGACATTGTCAAATGGGGTGTTGCACTAGAAAAAAACATTTCTGTCTTTAGAATCTCCGTTAATATATTCTACATTCATGAGAAGAGTTATTGATTTTGATTTCAATTTTAATTAGAATCTATTTATATAACATTTTGTCTTTCTTAAAATTTGTTGTTAGTGAACATAAAGAATGGGAAATTGCAGACTATTTCGTCGATTGCTCACGTTAATGCTTAAAATTGCTACTATGAACAATTACTATGGTAAATGTTCAAGCTTTTTCCTCAGCTGTCCTATGGTTTTACTGTATACTGTGCATTTACTTTGTTTTTTCTTACAACTTGTGCAGTGTCATTTAGGTATGCCATATTTTACCTTCATTGCACAGTTTTAATACCATCCATTCAGTTACCATTTTACAATTACTTACCGCTGCTAATGTTTATTATCTGATAACAAATATTTTAGGTTTGTATCACAGTAAACCCTTGGGAAATGTACAAAAACCTGACCTTTTGCATCCTACCCGGGCTTTTCTTTTTCTTGATTCTTTCAGGTCCCTGCATTGATATTAACGTAAGCCAGTGCCATATTTTACCCTACAACCAAACCAGCCTGTCGTCCCGCAGCTCCATTGTGCGGAGCGTTGAGGTGGAGATGTTCCTCAAGTTCTTCAGCTCCCTGAATCGCCTCAGCTGCTACCGCCATATCATGCTCTTTGGCTGCAGCCTCGCTCTTCCTGAATGCGCTGGAGAAGGCGATGAAAGGTATGGGAGGGCCAGACACTTCAGAGATCACAGCATGCGACACTCACTGACCACCATGTTTGTCCCAGGTTTCAACTTTGATCTTTTGACTCCTTGCTGATTAGAACTGTCATAAGGGAAAATTCTGAGTAATGTTGTGTAGCCCCCAAAACAGTTTAACCGGGTCTTCAGTTCTGAACATGACAGCCTGTGGGGTAGAAATAAAAAAGAGCCTTTGCTTGAAATGTTAGCAGATCTGAAAATAAAATATGGTAGCAGCCGTTGTTTTCTCACCAGATGTTTGGCAGGGAAACACACTGGGGCTTCGGGTTGTTATTTGTTCAAGAGAAGTGTTAGGTTTCCAGGGTAATGAAGAAGAGAAAAGATAGGAAGCAGTGACCAGCACTGTGTTTGCACCACAAATAACTAGTAGCTAGAGAGATTATCCTGCGTGCCTTTTTCTTTTGTTTTCAGTTTACCTGTTGGGTTTGGAAGTAGCCCTTTCTGTACATGAAAAGGGCATTAAAGGTTCCTTCTTTGTACAGTATATCACTGTGTCTGATCACAATCCTCCATGCTACAGAATATTAATATTGGGAAATTCTTTATAAATCATGAAGTAAATGATTGCATCTGCTACAAATGACATGTTTAAGCATTCCTTAATGAAGAAACCACGTAACCTTGTGGAATCAATATTTGAGGATTTGGCCATTGGCACTTGCACAGTATGGTGTTATCACAATCATCATAGTTCAATGTAGAGCAAACAGAAAAGCTAGCATGAACTGACTTAATTGTGCGGTTGACATTTTCCAGTAATGAAGTCACACAAGAATGTCTTATTACAAGGTGTTGTTTGATGTAATCATGCAGAATACATCAAAACTGTTTTTCAGTTCTCAGTTCATATATTTTAATCTTAATTAATTCATTCAACCTTAGACTGTTTTATGGAAAAAACATATCTGTGATTGTGTTCAACATAAAGGTTGTATGATAATTCTGAAAGTTGCTTAAAACCTCCGATTGTGAAGTGGTGAATTAAAAATGTGATGTTCATGGTGTTATGTGTTTTCCATTGCATTGTGGACATTATACGGTTAAAAACGAGTTAATAATAATTTGCATAATTGAACCAGTGAGATATTTCATTTGCCTTGTGTCAAATTTGCCTTGTATCAAATTGTAAATTAGGTCTGTATGTGAGGTACAGAGACCTAGTTTCAAATAGGGACTGTAGGAAGAACCATGAAGACCATGTTCTAGACAGCTGGACTGAACCACTCTTCCGGAATTTTCTTTCAGAAATTCCATTAATTAATGTGTGAAATCAGAAAGTTTGGAAAGCTCTTAAGACTTTTTCTAACTGATTATTAAAGCTAAACAATCTGTTAAATCTTTCAAACATTATATTAGGAGAACAATAAAATGTAGCAGCTGAGCAGAACAGAGAGATCTTCAAATGCATTTTACAGTGCTTAGCTTTTCCTTAGTGCTTAGCTTATCCTTTCCAAGCTCCAATGGATGGCTGATTTTTAATAATTCCAAGCACTAATGAAGGGATTAAACAATTACTTTAAGTTAGTCATGTATGGCTGCAAATGCACAACTGCAAACAATTTAATTATTTTGATTAATCTAAAGTGCGCCTTGTAGTTAAATAACAATATAATAAAATATAAAAAGCATTATTTAATTGTTTACTGTATTTAAAGAGAACCACATCTTTATGTCCTGAGAAACCTAGAATCTTATTTCATATTGTTCTTAACATTCCACTCACAGACGCAATTACACTAACATTTTCTGTACTTTTGGTTTATCCAATTTATTTTTTTTTATTTCATAATAAAAGTAGTCAACAACATGCATTTACTTTTAAGCTATGGGCCTGTGCAGATGAAGCAGCCAAACCAAAACTGACAAATATCAGAAACAACATGGGATGCCATTTCAATTAGATATTAGAAACTTCTTAATTTCAATTAGAAACATTTTTTTCTACGTATGTTGAAACCAGGTATGTTTTGATGCAAAACATTTTGCGAAATTCAGTTGCTCTCAGTCATGAACCACTGTGTTTGCTTTCATCAATGTGTTAAAACTCTGAGTTTTAGTTTAAGACTTTTTGTTTTGAGGCCAATTAAAAGACCATTTCTAATGGTAAGAATTTGATGAGGTTAGGAAAATGTGAGTTTAATTGTTTTTATTGAAACTTTAGTATACCCAGGTAATTGGCCAAAACCCCATTAATCTTTATAAAAGCAGTATCCCTTGGCTCTTGCAGTGGAAGAAGAGTTTTCTTAGTGAAGCAGGTGTAACACTACAGGTTACCTACCACCTGTTAAAATCGTGGTGTTTTTGTAGTCCATCTATCATAACAAGCTTTCTTTCAAACTTTTTTTGTTTGAAAAGAATTGATGTTTATCTCATTGGGTCAAATTACAAGCATTAAAAGCAACAATTATGTAATTTTGTAACTTTGATATTGTATACCCACTTATGAGTGGTTATAGTGAATATTAGATTTATTTATTATGTCACCCTAATTTTGAACTTTTAATTCAGAGGTGAATTGGTTATTTTCTGATTGAGATATATGGATTAGAAACTTCTCCTGCTTTATGTCGGGAGAAGAACGCATATTTAACATAGAGAAGGGTCTCTATGCTGACTGCACAGTGACTGAGTACAAGCAAATACTGAGAAGAGACAGAGATAAAAAGAAGCACAGAGGGCTTATTTCACCATTCATACATTTACCCTAAAACAAATGATACACTGTAAATAGAGAAGCACAATGGCGCAGCGTAGCTGCGTGGAGTTTTCACAGCATGTTCTCTCTGTGTTTGCGAGGTTTCCTATGGGTGCTCCGGTTTACTCTCACAGTCCAAAGACATGGTTGTAGGTTAATTGGCTTCTTGGAGAACTGGCCCTGGTGTGAGTGTGTGCATGTTTAGTCCATGTGTGCCCTGAGAAGGACTGCCAGGGTGGTGTCCTACCTTCTGCGCGTTGCTTGCTGGGATAGGATTCGGCTCCACTATGACTTTGTATTGAACCGGGCAGATAGAAAATGGCTGGATTTACATAAATATGGGATCCTGATCCTGAAGGAAATGTGGTGGCATCAGATCCACCAGTTGGTTATTTGACTTCCTTACTTCCGTCTTCTTAAACTTCAGCATGTAATGTTGCCATTTCTGCAAAACGACACCGCTGACTCAGCATAGACACAGAATCTAAGACATGAGCTGACTGAGTTCTTGGACAGTGGCCAAGAGAACTAAATTTGATCCCTGCCTAGGTGATCAATGACAAACCTAAAACAAAAAATCAGCTGGAAATCAGGACTGTGCTTGCATCAGGCTACCTTTCACAGCGAGCATGTTGCAGAGTAGTTGTGTGTTATGCTACAGTACATGAAATAATTAATTATACCAAATCTCTGCATGGTGAATCCATAAAACCACGTGTCCATGGCATGTGGCCAAATGGACAGAGCTTAGTTTTCCGTTTACCTGTGTTGATTTTTTCATCTCCTGGAACAAAACTCATTTAGCACATACCACTTAAGTGTGAACATGGCTATATTTTAGAATACCAAAACAAATAATTATCAGACTTCACATCAGAACACATCATAGATCATACACAATTCCAGTTATTTTTATAATTCTGAAATTCAGGGTTTTTTTAAAGATTACTCTGTATTTCCAAACTGGAAAAACTCAAGAAATATAGCAAAGTTCCACAGTGTTACTGAATTATTTTATCTTACTTGATGGAAACTAATGAAATGGTCCTCATTTATAGAAGGAACTTAAGTGAAATTCTGTAATAGTTTCACTTTTTGTTTTTATGTTGACATTATTATACTACTACAAGTATTTGAGGCAGTTGGAGAAAAATCTTTAATAATTTGTAGGGTTTTATCTACTTGTAAAAATAATCACATATACTGTATCTTGAAGTACTGACTTTTGTTCTACATCATACAGCCCTTGCAGACTTCCAAGTCATTTTCCTATGTTAATGGAGAGTGTATTAGAGGAAAACACACATATACTGATCTGTTTAATAGCAATGGTAAATAATGTTGTCATGAAATGAGCAGCAGTCAACTTTTGCAACCTGGATACATTTACTAGCACAGGTTACATTGTATATAATTCTGATTCCTGACTCTAACAATAGACAGTTTGGAAAATAGTGTGAAAAGATCTAAAGCTATTATTTTTCTAATTTAAACCATTTAATTGAAGAATTAAAGATAATTATTGATGTGATTAGTTTGCGACAAAAGAACAGTGAAAAAATAATATATGCATCCATCCATTTTCTAAACCGCTTTATCTGGTACAGGGTCGCAGAAGAACTGGAGCCTATCCTGGCAAGCCACAGGCACAAAGCAGGATACACCCTGAATGGGACACCAGTCCATCCCAGTATACAAACAAGCATGGACGCACTCACACCCTGACCCAGTTTCCTCAGAAGCGTTTTAGCCTAACAGAATGTCTTTGAACTGTGGAAAAGAAACAAAGCACCCAGAGGAGACATACAAACTCCATTGTATGGTGTTATATTAAAGACATCAAAATTAGGCAAATATATTGGAAAGTTTTACCTTAGTTTCATTCTTAAAAGGGTTTAATAATAATAAATTCAAAAGATTAAATATATGTCTTAAGAACACAGGGAAGTATAAATGAGTGGAGGCCATTAATTTTATTAAGCTTATTTGGTGCTTAGTAACGAATTGATTAAAGGTTGTCATCCAAATGTTTCTTGATTAAAGCCAGGGTGTCATCTTCAACATGGTTAGGTAAATTGTGCCATAGTTTCCCAACCTTTTATATAAAGAAGTGCCTCTTGTTCTCAGTTTTCATTGCAGTTTCACGCAGTTTCTGCTTGTGTCCTTCAGTTCCTATTTTACTGTTGTTTCTGAAGAAGTCCACTGGGTTCTTTTATTGAACTCTGTCCTTGTGTTTAGCACTCGTTCTCTGAAGGCTGCAATATACCTTTGAGGGACAGATTTAATTCAAGTAATGTTTGCCTGATAAAGACCCATAAGGAGGCTTAATAATGGTTGTCACAATTAATCACTGAAACAATTCCAAGATTGTTTAAAAGTCATGGGTGGGATAATTAATCCTGGTGACTGAATCCTCCCCTAGAAAGGGACATGCTCATTGTGACGAAAGAGCATTCTAAGTGTTTGCCAGCTGTGGCTGTCATGAGAGACTATCAGTATCCATAAAGTGAAATGTTGTGTTGAATGATTTTACTTTTTTGGTTTTACTTTTGCTGATAACTGAGGCAGCAGGGCCATGGAGCTCTCGGCTCATATCTGGAAGTTTGTGGTTTTGAAATGCCAGGTGACGAACTGCTTTTATACCCTTGAGTACTTCAGTCAGATGGCTTTGTTAAAATAGTTGTATTAATGTTACCTTGTGGCATAGTCGTTGAATTAATGATGCAAATGTAAGTTGCTATCCATGAAAGTGTCAGTCAAGCTAATAAATCATGCTGCCCTGCTCTTTCTTCCCCAAAGGAGGCTGATATTCCCCTGTATGTCATTCTGTGAGGCGGCAAGGGAGGGCTGTGAGCCTGTTCTGCAGACTTTCAACGCCTCCTGGCCAGACTTCCTCAGGTGCTCCCAGTTCAAAAACAGCACAAGCATGGATGATAGTGCTCCGATCTGCTACAGTCCTAAGCAAACAAAAGGTACGTGTTTCCCCTCTTCATCCTTAAGGGTGTATTTATATTTAAATGCATCATTACTTACTAAAATGAATAGGTCTTCAAAAACTCTATGCTGATAAATGAGTATGGTATAATACATATTATTTTCTAAACTAATTTTCTAAATTAATAAATCACATAATTTCAAACTGAGAGTGACAATAGGTTCACCTGCTGTAGCAGGTTAGAGTATTTCATTTATTTAATTTGTAATATTCACTATTTTTTATTTTCATTTAGTTTTTGCAGTTGTCAATGATGACATGAATACTGTCTATGCAAAAAGGGCAGGGAGTATCTGTGTTAATAGTTGGTGGTTTTCTAAAAAAGAGTTTTTTGCCTTCTGTAGCTTGCCTTTCCTAATTAAATCCATTCCTTAGAAAAAAGTAAGCTTCACGTAACTCTTGCAGTACGCTTTCTGACACATACTTGAAGTAGGCTGGATGTATTTTTTGGGATTATACTTTAATTCATGAGGCAACAGCTAGAAGCTGAACAAAATGGTCTTTGCTGTAGGATCAACGGTTGTTTGATTTCTCGGGAGGTTTGTCAGACTCATAGTTTCTGGAAGCCCCAATTCGATGTCATACAGACCTCCTCCACATTGTGCGTCATGCTTTCACACTCTCTGGCCTTTCCAGAAAGTATCCCGAACATATCATGTTGTCATTCCTTTGCCTAGGAACCTAATGAATGTACTGTAGATGTAATCATCACCAGCTCCTAAATCTGCGTCGTTCTGTGAACATCATTCTAATAAGCAGAACAAATAAAAATCTCACGAGGCTCATATGTACAGCCTACATATTGAGAGCGGTTTCCTTCAGGTGCTTTTACAAAATGGCCAAAAAGTACTGAAATTAATTTCAATTGTAATTAAAGGCTGCTAAACTTTGACTTTATAGGTATGCAAAGTTTTATTCGCAATGTGCTTGCTTACTATTATTGAGAAGCAGCCAGAGTCAGAGTATACTAGCTTTTTGTTTGGTTTGGTTGGAAATTAGTCCCAAAAACTCACCAAGTTGTTTTTACAAGGATTCCAGGCATCTGGCTGCCACAACATGTCTGGGGAATTTGTTATCCTTTTTTGTGGAAGGGCACTACTTTTACAATGAGTAATTACAACCCCTGTTTCCAATTTACTGCAATGTTTGAGAGTTTTTTCCATTGACCTGAGGAAGGTTGGGATATCTGTTCTGCACAATGTGACCTGATTACCAGGGTCAGTATCTGCAACGTAAGACGTTTCTAAAGGTTTTCCCTGGCCTTTACATGTGTTGATGTTCTTTGAGTGTGGTTTTTAAATGCAAAAGGATGGATGGCACTAATTTGCAGCACCCTTCTAAGCACTTATAATTACAATTTGAAATGTGCTTTCAAGCCGAATATGTACTTTAGTGACACACTTGCCTTTGTAAAATGTGGACATGTACACAAGGGAGTTGACAGACTGTCATTAATGCATGCCTGAATATGAGACAAGAGCGTATTGGATTTCATTGGTTAATAAGATTGTTGAACACTACTGTTGAATAAGCACACATCAATTTTAAGACAACTGAAAATCCGGAGTACATGAAGGTTGTATTGTATAAGGTTCCAATAGTGACAGACCCACATAAATTGTAATTGTAAATATTAAATATCATTCCATGCATCATAAAAAAAAATGATTCTTCAGAAGCATCAATAACTTAGTGGCTTCATCTGTTATTTAAATATATTATTTGTAGCCAAAGTTTAAGTACTGAGATTTGTAAAGCATGAGTTGAAGGTATTATAGTCACTGATTCTAAAACAAGTTTTGGAATCAATTTCTCCCTTGAATTATTGTTTTTTACACATTGTAAAGACAATAATTTTGATATGGCAGCAAGTTCTTGGAAAGATATACTGCTGTACAGTATATGCAAATGCTGACTGCCCTGTTGTTCATTCAAAAACTAAAAAAAATACAGCATGTCTATAAATATTGTGTTAAGATGACTTCTACTGTACGTCCTGATGAGTTTAGGACATACTTAAGAGTCAAGTCCACTCTTTTTGGAAATATAAACTGGAATTCAGAGTGAATTGTACCCCAGTGTAAAGCTGTTGGCTTTACATACCTTTTTTCCCAAGATGTGATGTGATAAAATCATCTCTATTTTGTATTTCTCTGGATGCTGGAAATGACATCAGAGAGACAACAGCCTCTTGGACACAGTCTACACACACTAGTTAACTATTTATAATGCGTGTACACATATTAAAACTTACCAAGACATGAGCTGAAGAAATAAAAACTTGCTTAGTTGTAACACCATACTCATCAAGTATCAATCTATATTTTTGATTGATACTTGATCTTTGAATAGGTACATATACTGTAGATTCTGCCATGAATTATAACAGAACAAAGATAATTCAGTTTGGTCCTGTGTTTTGGCCAGGTTGTAAACAACTTTATGAACAGGTGACATTTTACAACTTCCTATACATTGTCCTTCATAAAATATAACTGATCTTTATGATAATGTGTGTATTTTTTTTACATTGCTGTCTTTTTGAAGTAGAAGAAACTACTGGATTGTTGTTCCATTTCACATATTCAGTGGTTTCTTTTCTAGTACAAAGGAAAAAGCTAGAAATGAAAGGAAATCAATCCAAGATACTATAAAATCTATTCATCCTGTTAGAATGAAGATGCCAGCAGGCAATTAGATTGTCCAAGCAAATTATGCTTAGAGTACTCTCTGGATTAGCAAAGATCATTGATTAGGAAAAAATGTGTTTTATAAATTATGATGGAATTACTGAAAGTAAAATGAAAGTAACTATTATGTTTAGCATTTCATTTACCTAAACAACACTATGGTGGTTGTAGAATAAAACATAATTTTAATAATTGTAAACTCTTTAGGTGAGTTGATGGATACAATATGTGGTTTAAGATAAGAATAATCCTTCCTTTTATTAGAATTACCTGAACTTTTATTCTGCCGTGATGGTTTAAGTAGTATACAGTAAGTATTATTTGACCTAGTTAAAGGAGAACTGTTTCATGCTTGCCTTTTTTTAATAGATTGAACAGACTGAGAATACTATGGGCTGTGTGAAGTCTATTTGTGAGGTGCACATATCAGGAGTTGATATACTCTATGAATTTAAAGAGCAGGTCTTCTATTAGTCTTTTCATCATAAACAGAGTATCTGCAGACTAGTGCTGCAGACTAGCCTGGAACGTCTGAGGAAGTCCTGATAAAAACAAATGAAGGTCAGTCTTTTCATCCTGCCAGTATTGAGATGCCAGCAGAGAAGTCGATTGCCCAGGCTAATTTTACATGGCCCTAAGCATTATTACTTTCAATATACATGGTGTCCCTCATTCACTGAAGTTTTTCCATTTTTTCCACTTACTGTGTATTTTCTTACAGCAACAAATTCAATAAATGAACACTGCATGTTCCATAATATTATATTCTTGGTAGTTCAAGGGTTTCTTTACACAAAGAATATGGTAAAAGTATTTCTCAATTGTTTGATTAGCAAAGAAACACTATTTTGTAAATGGACTATACAGTTTTTTGGGGGGTTAATATCATATTTAGGTATGCATTTTAGGTTAATGGGTTTATTTCTAAATATTTTAACAAGATTGATCATATTCAGTCTTAGAAATGTCTGACTTTTGAAGTAGACTAATTTTGCTGATATTCAATATCTGATGTGAAGTGACACATACCGTACAAGCACAAAGACTCTCACACATGCAAATATGTCTCTTTGAAAAGAGTATTATGAAACTGTAGTTTGTCTATCATTTTTTAATTTAAAGTGCAGACGTCCGTTCATATTTTAAGTTATACAGGCAGTACACAGTACATTAGTCAAAGATGTACACTTGGAGTAACAAGAGAAGACAGAAAAATACATGGATAGGTTAGAGAGCAAATAAAAGTATGAGGCATGGTTAGAAGAGTGAAGGAATTAAACCAGCAATGGTGTGGACACACAGCAAGCTGCCATTGGGCCGAGGAATTACTCTATTAATAATGTAGATTAGATTACTGGATTAGAGAGAAAAAAAACAGTTACTTTAAAGAATTATTCCCATTAAAATGTATGATAAAATCAAAAGGGTTTTCAAAAAGGAGTTGGATGAAGACAAAAATCTGTTAAATGTGATGGGGTCTGTAGCAGTTCTGAGGATGCACATACTGTAGTACCCTACTGTGAATTTATCAGGTACCTTCTGTTGTGATGAATTTAGCTCTGTCCCCGGGTCAGACCAATCTTCCCGTACTCTATATCCCAAGTTTCATGAACAGTTATAGTATAGTAAAGATTATTTTTTTCCTAAAAGGTTTGTATTCGTGTCTTGGAATGGAGCCAAAATTTGAAAAGGATGGCAGCCATTTTGACCATAAGTAATGTAATGACCATAAACTTTCCATTTTTAGAAGAATGAAAAAGCCATTTAGCAAACATACTCTAAAAATTCACTTTTTGTGAACCTGTGCCAAGAACAGAATATTGTCTGACTTCAAGGTTCCTGCCTCCACACTGTGGTCATCGCAACACAAATTTACCTGATATAATAATTTCGCAATAACGTGTTTTCAGTTATCATCAAACAGACGTTGAGACTTTCACAGTGGAATATGTCATTGATTTTCTTATTTATACTAAATGTGCCTGTACAAGGCCCAATGAGCTCTAATTACAGCCCAAATTAAGTGTTAACACTTTTTAAATTAATGACACATTTTGATGACTTAATGCTTCATGACTTTGCTGCTTTTAATGACAGCTGTTCATCACACATGAGTCAAAATATCTAGTTCTGTTACTCTTCGAAAAGTAAGGTATGGTTTCTCTTATCCTTTCAGTGGTAACCAAACTCCAGATATGAAGAAAAGTGAAGTTAAGGTTATACAAGAAATACTACTTGTGACCAGTATCCATTTTCCTACTAGCAAGGCAAAGCCTTTCGCTCTTAGAACAATAGTTGTGTTTTAGAGATTCATGTTTTTTCTGAACCACATAGAGTAATTGGTTAAAAAGTAATCAGTAATGTAATTTATTCATTTTTTTAAAGGAAAATGTCCAGGCAAATATTTCTGAAAACCCACATCATGCAGTATTTGATTATCAGAGACTGTGTCACAAGTGCACTTTTTAAAGTTTTACTGTTGACATTAATGCATTAGATGAGTAATGCAGATTAATGACTATTGAAAACAGCTTTAAAGGCAAGAAATCTGGAAAAAAGAGTTTTACTTATAAGGTAGTTTGCACATGAAACAATCTTTATTTACGATGGTACTGTACCATTACAACCTGTAGCATGTTTTGTTTGTCATTATTAGTGGGTATGCCATCCTAATGTCAGTAGCATTAGTTTAAAAGTTCATTTGGTTGCACACTTGGAAGGCTTTTCCAGTTTCTTAAAAGGAGGCTAATTATACCATACAAAATCTTTAAACGGGTCGTTTAAATAAGATAAGATAACAATAGCACTGACTCATTACAGTCAAGTCTTTTGTTGTAGAAAATAGGCCAGATGTTTTATGGTGGTTTCTTTTTTAAATTGTTTGCCGGATTTCAAAAGGGGGTTCTTGAAGCGCTCTTTAGAACTTCTATGAGGCAGCTTTCTGGCTTTTGTTTGATTCATTAAAAAGGGAATAAACAACAGAATAACCTTCTTGTCTTTCAGCGGTTTGGTTGTCTTGGTGTTGTCTTTGAAGGCTTTAGCCGTTTTTTTTAAGAGGAAGCTACACTACATTTTTCTAATGAAAATGCAGATGGTGTACATCATAAACCAAAGAGTGGCTGTATTGCTGAGATAAAAAAATAAGATTAAGTAAGGAAAACACTTTAATTTAGTTTAACAGCTTAGGAGTTTGGAAATGTTGCACAGAAATTTGTCTAGTAAATGACAATTTGATAATAACCAGTTTTGTGGTCATATTCTTTCAAATAACTTCATGGAATAGAAAGATTCTCCTTTATTAAAAATGTTAGAATGTTAAAAATTATTTAAAAGAAATAAATCACTAGTTCAGGCCAGACTTGCATTATCATTTGATCTCTGAATGTTCCCCACTTCTTTCCTTCATAAAGAATTTGGTGAAGTTTATTCCATCCACCTATCCAGCCATTTTCTAAGTGCTTGATCTGATACAGCATCGTAGGGGAGCCGGAGCCTATCTCAGCAAGGAGCAGGCACAAGGCAGGACACCCCTTCGAAGGGACGTCAGTCCATCGCAAGGCAGACAGACACGCACTCATGCACTTCAGGGCCAATTTCTTAGGAGCCAATTAACTTACCTGTGTATGTCTTTGGCATACTGTAGCACCTGGAGGAAACCCACGCAAACACAGGAGAACATACTATGCAAACTCTACATAGACAGCACCCCAGGTCCGAAATTAAGCGCAGGACCCCAGTGCTAACTGCTGTTATACTCTGATACTGATGGGTTTTCAGTAACTTTTTTTTCTGATATTTGATAGTTTCATTTTCAGTTCAGTTCATGACTCGTATACCTAACAATTATTAGTTATTATTGCCCAGAGGCCTACTAGAAACATTTTTCTTCTGTTACTGTTTATTGTAGTTACAGTCTATATAATCAAAAACATTATAAATGTTGTTGCTTTTACCTGATAATAGCATTGAATAACACATTTTATTGCTGGATAAGTGAATTGTGAGGACAGCTGACTTCGTAAATAAAGCCAATGAAAGATATTGGTTGCCGTGTATTATCTAATACAAATTAAACCAGATTAATTTGTTTTTCTTTCTCTGTTTCAGCTGTTTGTGGTGGGCAAGACAATTTCCTATGTGCCACAGGAATCTGTGTCCCCAGGAAACTGCTTTGTAATGGTTACAATGACTGTGATGACTGGAGCGATGAGGCCAACTGCAGTAAGTCACTGAAGAAAATATTGGATTTGGGGAATTTTTTAGCTCTTGGAGATGAAAGAATTCAGGAACTGGTCACCCTACCAGAGCAAATGAAAAATGCAAATAAAGCAAATTGCCTTTTGCTGAACAACCATCTGGTGTTGTTTTGCAGATGGTCAAGGAATACACATTGCTAACTTGCCTGAATTAGACGTTACTGCCCATTTTGTTTTCTTTCTTAGAAGAAAAGTGCAATAGCTGGATTTAGAGGTGCATAAAAATGACTTAATGAGACCTTCTCACAATTCTCCAGTTTACAATTTATGAAAACAAGATATTCCATCAGGGTGGTCTAGCATAGCTGTAAAGAGCATTAGGTGTCCCAAATCCTTTTCATCTTTTGGTGTGTGTTTCACTCTGAATTGGCCAAATACACATAACCAGTGGGGCTATGTTGTCTTTTCTCCCACCGTTGTGTTGTTTCAAAAGACAGCTGTGATTGAAGGTCCCTGGAGGTAATGTGTCTTCCATAGCATTATAACACCATTGGTTTGATGTTAATAATGGAGTTCCATGGCATGGAAATTGAAGACACCCTAACCATAATTTACACATGACTACAAAACCCCAAATTACAACTTATTATTTCATCATTTGTAATTAAAAAATGGGATATCATTGGAATTTGTTTGCAGTACACTGCACCATATTTGTCAATTCCCTGTGAGACAAACAGCAGTAAAATAGATAATGTGCGCAATCAAATTTGAATACACACTGATTTGTGTTCATTTCAGAAGCTCTTTCCTGCACACTTTTTCCATTGACTTGTCAGTTTTGAGGTCTGATCCTGTTGATATGACATGTCATGAATGTACAGTTGGAAAAGAGATGGAAGGTATTTACTGCATACATAGGTCTCTCATCACATTAGCACAGTCTGTGACATTGTGAATGTGACACTGGTCACGGTTGAATAGAAGCGTGTAGGAGTCCTGCTGTTAGAGGAAATAAAGTCATCTGTCTATTTTCCTCACAGACTCCAGCAAGCAGAATTAAATGGGAGGCTAAAAAAAATTAATCATTCAGTTTTGTCCTTTAGTTTGACTTCTGCTAATTACAGGTGAGGGAGGGTGAGCGTTCTAGTCAGGGGGTTGTTGTCTTTTCATTTCAAGAAGTTAATATTTATAATACAAGTGTTCAGATCATTGCTGTCAGCTGATTAATGAGAAGGTCACAGCACATTGTAAATCCACTTAAAATGTAGTATAAATATACCGACCTACAAGGGCGGTTGCAAATAGAAAGCTAGGTCTCCTCAGTGTCCTACTATAGGTGCAGAATAACCTACATTAATTTTCTGTTTCTGTTCATGATACATTTCATTATGTTATTATCTACATGGGAGGTGCAGTGGTTAACATTGCTGCCTTGCAGCACAGGGGATCCTGGGTTCAGTTTTTAGACCTTGGGTGTTGTCTGTGTAGAGTAAGTACATGTATATTCTCCCCATGTTTACATACATTTCCTCCAGGTTCTCTGGTTTCCTCCCACAGTCCACAAACATACTGGTAGATTAAATGGCTTCTGGGAAAACTTGCCCTGTGTGTGTCTGTGTGTGCCTTGCAATGGACTGGCATCCTGTCCAGGGTGTATCTGGCTTTTGCTTGCCAGGATAGGCTCCAGCATCCCTGCAACTCTGTATTGGACAGAGCAGTTTGAAAATGGATGGATAACACGATTAGTCTTTAGAGTATACTGTATGGTGACTTTTCTTTTTGCTAGAATAACAAAGAATCTATTCTCTTAAATTCCTGAAAATTGTTATATTTAGATGCATGCTTCTATTTTCTATGTCAGGACATTAAGTGAAGTAACAATATAAATTCTACAGCATCAAACCTATTGTGGATATTCTGTTCCAAAACTTTATACCCTCAGTTTAAAAGGATATTTAAATCCAAAGACAACATGTTAGTTCCTTGCGCCCGTTGCTTGGTTAGATAGAATTAGAATTAGATTAGAATCCATTGATGGTAACTTTTTAATGATATCTAGCCTACAATTTGCATTGTAATTCCAGGTCTAATTTTCAAGAAACTCAGAGAAGGTATTTAGTTTCCTTTACTTTCCTTTAGTTATTTTTACAGTTTTCAGGTTTTACAGTGCTCATAGCTAAGGAAAGGAAAAATATACAATACAGTATGTGTTGAAATCTCCAGGAAGAAACTAGCAAAAAAAATCAAGATGTTGTGCGATAACTTAATTTGACCAGGTATCACTTTTAGTTTCTCCTTATAGGAAACCATATTAGAAGGTATATACTGTATATACAGTAGACCATATTAGAACAGTGTCATTGTCTGGGAGTTACTGTAGTTAAATGTTATTAACTATTCTGCTTTTCCTTTTAAGACTGCAGCAAAGACCAGTTTCAGTGTGGTACTGGGCGCTGTCTAAGTCACAGCCTTGTGTGCGATGGCTATGATGACTGTGGAGACCTCAGTGATGAGCAAAATTGTGGTAAGGCTGTTTCTGTTTTTTTTTAACCATTTAGGTTCATTTCATTTTCTCTTACTGTAAAGCCTTTTGTCTTGAATTCCACAAATTTTGTGCTTTTTGACAAAGTATTTGTTCTTGATCTTACAAATTAAATTAAACCAGTTACTTTTATAATTGTGTATTTTGTTGCCTTTGTCAGTTTTTACAGTTGTTTATCTTTGCTCTTTATTTCATTCAATGTTTTTTTTTTTACTCCTAAAACTTTAAAAAAAATATTTACTTTAGGTTAATTGTATTGATCTAATATTCTGCTGGTCATGTTTCCTAATTATCTGAAAATCATTGAAAATTTTGAGAATGGTACCCAATATATTTTACATTTTTGTATAATCTGCTTTATCATATAAATTATTTACAGGATTTGAAGTTTTGAATCCTGGTCACACAGGGCCACAATCCATGAGGTTTTCTGTCTCTTTTAGTTTTGAATGTACTATATAATGATTTGGGGAAATTTATGCTTTGATTACACCAGCAAATACTTTGCTCACTTAAGTTAGAAGTGGTCTTCTACAGGCAAACACAGGCAGTAGTGCTTTTATGGTTTCATTGAAAACGATCTCCATATTAATTTATTTAGCAGATCGACTACTAAAATGAGCAAAATGAAATGAAACGTTGACTTGCTAATTAGCAACTTTTTTATATAAATGTAGAAGTCATGTCTCAATCTATAATAAACTAATTTCTCTTGATGAACTTCCAGAAATGATCCCCATACCTCAGTATAAAAAACATGTAGTTAAAAAACATTTACTTCTAGCATCATTTACTGAGAATGAATTGTGTGTATAATTAATTTTATCTAATTTATACAAAAGGTTTCCTAGAGTACTGTGGCTGTAAATATTTTAATGTTTGTAATCCTATATTTTGGGAGATTGGTTTATTTTAATTTGTGCTCTTATACTTGAGCTATGTTAATGTATAAACTTTCGTAGAAAAGTGATTTTGAAGCAACATAAACATGTTATACACATTGTGTGTTATACATTTGATGCACATCGTGTACTCAAGTGATGTCTACAAAGCAATTTCCATGTCTGATGGAGTGCTTTGGACATGCTGTAAGATTGTTCCATACATTTGTTACATAAAGGACCTACAGTGTGCTATACAAAGGCTATTGTTGTATAAGTAGTGTGTATTTCAAACGTCATTTTAATGACATTCATTTAATCTATATTCCCTCCCTTTATCTCAAAGGTAAAATAGAATTTAATAGAAGTAAAGATCCTTATTGTACGTCACTAATTACTTCACACCAGTTTGAGCTTTCAGTTCTTAGCTGCCCTCTCTCCCTTTTATTAATCTTATACACAAAAATGTACCCAAATTACATTTTTACTATAAAAACAACAATTGAACACTCAGTGCCAAAATTGTTTTTATGTTATACCCAAGACATTTAAAATTTAATGTTTTGGGTATATGGGGTTTTGTTGTTTTGTCCTGGTGTAATGACCTCCTTGTGGTCTCTGCCCAGTCTCTTGTGCTTTTGTGCCCCACAATATAGTGATTTAATGTTTTCAACATGTGCTGCAAGCGTAACTGCATCACCTAAGAAATTGTCATTATTATCCTAGGGGTTTTAAATGCATCTTAAATACAGTATATTGCAAATGACATTGAAATATATCTGCATACTTAATTAACATACAATAAAACAGAGACAACAAGGAAATGTGACAACTATTTCAAAAAATCACATTAAACATTAACGGAACTCCAGGGTGTGTGGTTTAATGTGTGAATATCACACTAAATTGTTGAGGCACTCAGCTATGTGCTGTGCTTTTTCACTCTGTGGTGTTGTGATTATCTCATATTAATCACGCTCCCATTGAGAATTAATGTTTAAATATTACACTTGATGAATTAAGGTTGCTTATAACACCTGTGGAATTGTAGCTCTCCAGTACCACGGTGTATGCCACTGTACTGAGTTGTATGTCATCAATGACAGTGATAAAGTGCAGTTCATCTCTTGATAGTGCTTCTCCTATGGAAATATTCCCCCATACAGTCCCAAACACCTCAATGCGTAATTGAACTTTTACATACTGAACTCCACAGGTTTTTTTCTTCAGCAATATTAATTACTCATTGTTTTCTTATCCTTTTTGAATTTTGGTAGCTTATTTAAACCATTAGGCTATAAATAGCAGCTAAAAAAAAGCTATAAAACACCAGCAGCTATATCACCCTGCTGCTCACAAGTGCAAACCCACTGAAACTCAGCAGGTGTGAGCCTGGCCAGTACCTGCCTGACCATTAGGGAGTGCTCACCCTGCGGTCTGTGTGGATATTGTGGTCTTCGGCAATGTGAAAGGGACACAATACTGTAGAAAATCGCTGCCCTTCGGATGAGACATAAAACCGAGGTCCATTCTTGAAAAGGGATGTTACCCCTGTGTCCTGGTCAAATTTCCCATTGGCCTTTACCAATCATGGCTTCCTAATAATCCCCATCTCTGAATTGGCTTCATCACTCTGTTCTCCTCCCCACTGATAGCTGGTGTGTGGTGAGAGAACTGGAGCACTATGACTGCCGTCACATGATCCAGGTGGATGCTGCACATTGGTGGTGGTGGAGGGGAGTCCCCATTACCTGTAAAATGCTTTGAGTGGAGTGTCCAGAAAAGTGCTTTATAAGTGTAAGCAATTAATATTATCATAATTCATAATTATTATCGTTACTGTATGTTCTCCCTTGCCGTGGGTTTCCCCCCACAATCCAAAGATATACTTCAAGGTTATTGGGTTCTGGGAAAATTGCCAGGATAGGCTCCAGCTCCCTTGTAACTCTGCATTGGATGAAGTGGTAAAAAAATGGATGAATAATATAGTTATTATTATTTATAACACTATTTACTGTTCATAAACACCGTTTTACCGCCCCAGGGCTAAAATTTTGCTTTTGAACTACAAGGAATCTCAGTTTGGCATATTTTCCAGCATTCTAATTATTAGATTAATTAGAAGTGTGAAACCTGGGTGTTTTTCAGACTGCGATCCAAACAAGGAACACAGGTGTGGTGATGGCAGGTGTATCACCGCTGACTGGGTGTGCGATGGTGACCACGATTGTGCTGACAAGAGCGATGAAGTCAACTGCTGTAAGTCGGTTGTTTTAATCTACCTTGATTTGCGGGGTAGAATGCAGAGGAGCACCTGGATATAAAGCAGTGGTATAATTTCCTTTCTACTAGGGTTCTGGAGATCCCAGAAGGTCCTCCTTGACTGTCCAGTGATGCCACAGAAAGAAAGGGAAACATTTTACAAACCTCCCAGTTGCATAATCTCTAAAGTAAACACTTCAACACAGTGACCTGCAGTGATTCTTTCTATTTATAATTTAAGTAGAACATGTTATGTTATAATTATGCACGTAAAGTTTATGTCCTTATAATGGGGATTAGAAATGCCTGCCTATCACCCAGAAAAAAAATGGAAAATTAGCCGATATTTTTTCTTGAGATCTATAGACTAAATAAGTTGGCATTGTCTACTGTTGACTGCAAATGAGTTAGTTGCCTAGATTCATATTGCTTGTTCTTAAAAACGTTTTGTACCATTGCTGTTGCTGCAAAATTATAAGGAAACACTTCTGCCTCTAATAATTCTTAGGTTGTCTTACTGATATTTTTATTATCCTTTACATTTTTATGGAGTTGTTTACTTATAAGAAATAACATAGCGAATGATCACTTCATAGATACAAGTCTTTTTCATTTCACAATGATTGTGACTTTCCTGGTTTAAATGGAGGCATATGTAGAATTTTACATTTAAAATGAGACTCGAATTAATTATTTTTTGTTCTGCTACAAATGTTGAGGTAAGTAGTCATCCCTTGTCGTGCTTAGATTTCTTTTTTTTTAAAAAGACACCATGATAGTTTAAACTGCTGTGGTGAAATAAAAATAGATCCCTGAAAATAGAAAAGACTGCTTGTCATAGGTTTACCAGTGTTATGTAATTCAGTCACGTTAACATGAAAATGTTCTCTTCGTGAACCTTCTGTGACTAAATTATTTGATTCATCAAATATTTATAGAAGTTAACACACATGGCTGCACTGAATAATCTTGGGAGATAATGAATCCTAACATAAGCAAACACATAGAATTCTGTCAGATGGTATATATTTGGCTGACTAGGATAGGATAGGATACAGCTCTCCCAGTCCCTAAATTGAATGAAGCAGTTAGAAAATGAATGGATGGATAGATATTTGAACATAAAAATCAGTTGTATATCTATTAATTTTGTATATTTTATCAAGGCTGCCAAAAATGTATTAAAAGAAAAACATTTTTCTGATTCCCTAAATAAGGGAGCCTTATTTAAAGCAATGGCATTTTGACCTCTCCATTTCCATCAGATGAAGCCTTTTTAAATGCACTCACCAGCCTTTGTGAGCCCAAAGCATTGTATGATTAATGCAATAACATGCTGTGTTGTATGGCTTATGGACGGAGATAGATTAAGGTTTCTAATCAGTACTTGTGTACAATATTTTTTTTATTTTGGACTCACGCAAGGATGCTGGTATCACACGTGTCTGAATTCTGTCTGAATAAATGGAAATAACACATTCTGTAATAATTAATTATTTTCTCTTTAGTCGGCATTATGATCTTGTAAGAGACCTGAGAGTATTAAGTTAGGGTAAAAGGTGAGGGTTGCTTAGTGGTAATCAGTGGTCAAACAGTTTACAGAACTTAAAAAACATGAAGTATTATACTAAGTTAACACTGTAAATTGGCTCCTTAGAAGAATTGCCCCTGGTGTGTCTGTGTGTCTGTGTGTCTGTGTGTCTGTGTGTCTGTGTGTCTGTGTGTCTGTGTGTCTGTGTGTCTGTGTGTATGCCCTGCGATGGACTGGTGTCCTGACCAGGGTGTACTCTGACTTGTACCCATTGTTTTCTGAGATGGGCTCCAGCTCCTCAGCCACCCTAAAATATAAGAATAGGTTAGTAAATGGATGGGTGGTTAAACAGTGTTTTATATAAAACATTTAATGTTACTGTACATACCCACCCAACTTCAGCTCATGGTTCTGAATCCTGCAATATTACACGGGGGGTGAATGAGGGTGTACCTGCCCACCCACACTCCTGCCACTTGTCTTTTGATATGTCAATGGTGGCATAGTCTCGTAGACTGGAGGAGAGGTACTTCCCTCAACTACAGCACTACAAGCCTGCAAGTGCCTGAGAGGCCCAAGTGGGGCTTTGTGGCACCAGGAACCAAACTAATCCCAGCCTCTTTGTCATTGGTGCTGTCAGTTATGCACCAGTGCCTGGTTACTGTGACTTGACCAAGGCTCAGATTGGCTTTTCTTGGGTCATACAGCTTAACGGGGACTTAAGCGATCGACTTTACTGGTTGAAGCCAAAGAGGACGGTTATACTTGTTGCAGATGACATCAAAGGCGAGCTAAGAAGAGAGGGAAGATCGATTAGGAATAAGATCCAAACACAAATCCTGCCTGGGACCTTTTGCAAAATCAAAACTCCACATCAACACTCTAAAATGGCGGAAGAGACATTCAAGCCGTGATTTTGTGATTTTGTCTGTTGATAGTGTTTTGTTTTCTCTCCCCAGCATGTAAGAGTCAAGGGCTGCTAGAGTGTCGGAATGGGCAGTGCATTCCCAGCGCCTTCCGCTGTGACGGAGACATTGACTGCAAGGATGGGAGCGATGAGGAGAACTGCACCTTGAAGCAGAGTAGGTCCACTGAGGCATTTCGCAGTGCTGGCAGGCTGGTTTATACTTATCAAAAATATGTGGTGTGCTGAGGGAGGAAACCAGAGCGCTCAGTGAACACAAGGAGAACATTCAAACTCCACGCATATAGCACCACAGGTCCAGAATTCAGGGCCCGATTGTACTTATACTCATATTACATTTTAAAGTATATCTTAACCAAATATTATATATTGTATGGTTATATATAATTTATTTCATGGGCACATAATGTTTTAACATCGTTAAAAGTCGTTAAAAGTTTGCCATTTTACCTATTCTTCTACTTGTACAGCAATGGGTTTTATACTTCAATATATAAAATAATTTTATTTTTTAATTCAACAAAATAGAGGAAAGCAAGGTTAAAACCCAAACCGTCAGGTACAGAATAAAGTATGTATTGGTTTTGTCAAACATTCTCTTATACGGTATAGACAATTCCCTTATATATTGCATAAAATGGAATTAACGTGACCTAAATTAAAATGTATTTAATTATCATTCATTGCTCTCTTTAGATAAAAAAAAATAAGGAAGGAAATCTTTAAAACTTGCATGACCTAATTTTGTCTCCGTTTTCTAAATTATAATATATGAGTCAGAAGTTATAATTGTCAGTCTTCAAATAATTAAATAGTAACTACCACATCATGATAAATGCATTTACTCTTTACCGATGAACATGTAACATGTTCTACTTACTTCAACAAAATGTGACTCTTTCGAGTACAAATGTGAATGTTAAAACAAAATGTACATTCATTGCTGTAGACATACTGTATATAGTAGGCTCTTACTATCTGAATATCACAAGATGTGTTTCCAAGATTTTAAGTCGAGCACATTTTCCTTATTTCAGTTCTAGTGACTGCTAAAGATTTTTGGGAAAAACAGACATAATCTTGCCACAGGCTCATGGGGCTTTTCATTATTCAACATTTGATCAACATGTCCATCACTATCAACACAGTGTTAAAAACTATTGTCTACTCTCATATTCTTGATCGTTTGCTGTCATCCTCTGATAAGGTTTGACTGACCATTGCAGCACATCAATGTCTATTTCTATCATGTGTTACCAATTTCATCTGGCCGAGTTGTAATATTGTTGTCCTTGTACTGGCACTTGTACTGTTTAGTCCAAATCATTGGTAAGTGTAAGTTCCTCACCATACAGTGACTGTTGTAATATACAGTACTAGATCTTTTTTTTGTGATGGAACAAATCTGTGTCGAAAGGGCCAATGTTCTTGTTAGGATATGCAAATGTCATTGGAGAAATCATGGAGTAATTTGACGAGAACTAGAAGAGCATACTTGAAGTTCTATAGCCTGCAGTTAATTCCCAGCCTTTTTTCTGCAGTGCTTTCTTTTCTATCACAAGTCTCATCCAAGCATTTAGGCCAACTATCAGCAAATAGACTAACCCAACCATTAGCCTGGGTACTGTATATATCCTATTTAACATTTATGGGACAGAATTGTGCTTATAAGTAACAGTGGTTCAGTACCTGACATAACCAGGGATAAGTATTTTAGGCAATTTTGAACAGTTCAACAATTTGAGATGCAACTTTATATAATCACTTTCTTTCCCTTGGTCAATAGTATGCAGTCACAGTGAGTAATAGGGCAGAGCTGTAACCACTGTTAAACACATTGGTTTATCCTTGGGCAGAAACATTAGTTGACAAAACACATTACAGTAGCTGAAACAAGTCACATAGCTTACTGACACTGATAAATCATTTACATGACCGTATGGCATGAGAATCTGAGTTTAGCATGTCTCATGCGATGCTGTACAGATCACGTCTAAACCCTAGAAGTGTTAATTTATTGAATAAGCATTGCAGTTGTTCTAGAACAAGTGTCTTTACAAATGTTCTCTCCTAAATAAATACAAAAATTGAAAAAAAAGTGATTTAAATAAATGTAGTGTAAAATGACGTAAGCATCATCTACTGTGTCAGCCTACTATTATTGGCATTTTTCTAGCTTGTTCCTAATGCTTTCTTCACAGTCTGAAAAAGACTGAGAGACTGTATGAACACTTCTGTCAACAGTTAGGCCTTTAAGTACAAATTCAATGTGGAACATGCCTTATTCTTGTCTTATATAGAAGATAACCAACAGATCTTCACCCATCCATCACAATATCTGAAATGTTGTGCACTAGAAGTACGGCATATATTTCTTTTGACTACCTCCCCCATTTTTTTCCAAAACCCTAAAGGGCAAATGACTAATTTTTATGGAAAATGAGAACACCAAAATTTAACTACTAAGTATTTTTAATTTCAGGAATACCTTGTTTTAAATTTAAACAGTAATGCTGAATTGTAAAAAAAAGCTTTAATTCATTGCAACCCCTTGCTGGGGCTCACATGCCTTTAGTGTACTTACAATTATCAAATTAAAATTAATTTGAAGAGTTTGTATTAATGTGAATAGTGGCTGTTATAAGATGGGGGCTTCAGAAAAATGTAAAAGGTTCTGCACCAAGTGCAAAACGTGCCTTGTAGATAGAACATTTCACATTTGGAAACAGGCTGTTCCACTAGATTCAAGTCCTACCTGGGCTTAATGTCAGCAGGCAGATCAACAGCTCACAGCACACAGTGACCCCTCTCACTGGTTGGGTCCTGCGAGGTTTTGGTGCTGTAAGTGAGCAGAACATCTAAAGTAAACATACTGTATTTCTTTCGTATGAACTCCAGTGCTGTTCTCTCTGTAGATCAGAATGCATGCGAACCTGGACAACCAGGCTGCATATCTACCTCTTGCCTCGATGGTTGCCATGGGAATACTGTTTGTGACAGCCGCAGCAACAGCACAAACTGTAGTAAGTGTGCCACTAAAGGAATGCCAGTTTTTCATCAGCATTTTTAGCCATAACCAAAGACTAAAGAAAAGATCGAGGTGTTTGTGGCCTGTCGTAGTAACAGAAGACTTGGGTTATGTCCTGGCAAAGAGAGACAGAATAGATGAAGCACCAGAAAAAATAGTGATTTTTAAATAGAAAGAAAACACATAAAGATGCCAAAGTTTTACAAGATTTCTGTATAAGCCAGTACTTGATCTGTCTATTTCCCCTTGCATTGTTTCAGTTGCTGTGTCATACAACTCATGTTTTGTGTGTGTTGCTCACAAAAATATGTACAAATACATTTATGAATAACTGTTTTTCCTGGCTGATTGCCCCAAAGGTTTTGCATCAATTACCATGTATTCTGAATGAAAAGAGTTTATCACACTTAAAATATTTAAGTTATTAACAAAAGGCTTTGCCTAAGTAGTAAAAAAATACATTTTGTTAATGTAACAAAACCCATTTCCTTGAGCACTCAGTTGTTTGTCTTGCTGTCTTCTACACATCCTAGTTTTTAACACACCTACTGTATGAGAGTATACCTTGCTTGGCTCATGTAAACTGAAGAAAAGAGTTGAATTAACTGACTGTAATCATCTTCCTCTTCCAGACCGCTGTGAGCCTATTACCCTTGAGCTGTGCATGAATCTGCCGTACAACGTCACCAGCTTCCCAAATTTTCTGGGCCATGAAACACAGAAGGAGACATCCATCAGTTGGGAATCTTCTCTCTTCCCAGCACTCGTCCAGACAAACTGCTACAAATACCTCATGTTTTTCGCCTGCACCATCCTTGTGCCAAAATGTGACCCGGAAACCAATCAGAAGGTGCCACCATGCAGGTGAAACTGTCAGAAAAGCAATACAGTCCAAAGCATGCCAAAACTTTCAGTAGGTGTAGATAAACAGGCCTGATGCCATAATAGAAAAAAAAATCACACACGCATATTCAGTTCCGCTCTAAGCAGAAAAAATCTATTTAATTCTCTGATGACTCATGTGACACAATGCAGCAACGTTTGAACACAATACTGCCTTCATCACAGCGTTGTCGGTGTATTGTGTCATTTGAATTATAAGGGATTTAAATAGAATTTTATTACTTGCATGCAGAAGTTCCTTTTTTCTGACAAACCCAAAGATTTACGCATTACAGTGACTGAACAATGAAATTGAAGTTTGCATCCTGTTTTTGAAAATATCATAATAACCCACTTATCATTTTATGACTATTGTCCATGACCATGAGTAGCCTTTTTTCAGATTGTTCTACTTTTTAAAAAAAACATCCTTCCTACACTTAGAACTACCTACTACAAACACAGTATTATAGCAAGCCTGCCGTAGATTGTTGATCCCCACAGAAAAATATATATTGAAAAAAATATTGATAACCAAATACTAAGCAGTCAAGTTTCAACCTTGAATCATCCAAAAAAAGTCAGTCTCCTTTGTAGAAGTGCTCTCCTTTGAGAGACTCATTTGTTAAATATTTGAAATTGAGCTTCAATGCGTAAGGGGAACAAACAAACTGTGTGCATTATTTTTCTTTGTATGTACAGTATAACATCAATTAAAAAATAAATTGGGTTATACAACGTTTCACACCCAAAGAAGGCTCCACCGCTGAAACGTTGTTTCCTGACTTATCTTTGCTTGTTCTTCACAGCCTACACATGCTGACCCAGCTTCCTACTTGAACTAAATTCCTTCAATGCCAATATGTGTACAGGATGCTATGTGCTGTTAATCGTAAACTCACTTGTCACAGGTCATTGTGTAAAAATTCCAAAGAACGCTGTGAGTCAGTGCTGGGAATTGTGGGATTGCAGTGGCCAGAGGACACAGACTGTAGCCAGTTTCCAGAAGAAGGCCAGGAGAACGCAACTTGCTTGATGCCTGACCAGGACGTTGAAGGTTAGTCCAGATCTAAACTAAATAAAACTACAGATTACTGGAAATTTAAAAAAGAGAACAGGAGGCACTTTTTTATACAAAGGCTTGTGTGAAACAAGCAATCTGTTGGAAAAAGCAATCTTGTCATGTTACTGAACCTGGATCTGTGGTTTCTCTGAATAAATATTTTAGATGTGATTCTCAGATTAATTAAGGTAGCTACTTGCAATCAAACTACAGCATACTGTATATATTATATAGAATCCTTTCATTTGTAACATTTCTTGTGTTCTTTTGGACTTTTAAGAGACAATGAAATATAGTATATTTAGGAAGGATTTCCATTCCAGTTGACCACACTCTTTTGATATCAACTTTTTACAAAACAATAATAAAACTCCCTTAGGTTCTTATATTAGCATTCTGAAAATTTGATGACACCTTACAATAGTATGATGTTGTTCTCTCATCAGAAAGCCTTAAGTTATTGTTGTGACGTACTTTTTTTACTTGTGACCTGCTGTAATGCACTGTGCTTATAATGTAACCCAAGGTGTTATCTAGAATTTTATTTCTGAGAAGCATTTGATTTCTCCAGAAAAAAAAGTGTAATAAAACGTTTTTGGTTGCTAAGTAACCTTGTCACTCCCGTCTGTACCGTCTGCTCTCATTTGGACTAACTCGTGCCAGTTTTGTGTAAGCAGTAACATTTCACAAGTTCCCTACCAAGCTTATTGATACTTGCTCCATAACACTGAAGTGCTAAACAAAATCTGTCAGTGAAGTATGAGATATTTCCTTTGCCAGGGAAGGTTGGAGAGAAACAGAAAACCAAGCACTATATTATGGAATGCACTGTACAGTATATCTGCTACAGAAAAAGCAACTTGAAAAACTCCACCTTATGAAAACATTACATAAAACAAATTACTAGTAACTAATAACTAGTATCAGGCCTTCTTATCATGTTTTTTGTGCCCTGGTTTGACTGTGTGCATGTTTGTGTCTGTTTGTGCCTTGCAATGGGTGTATCCAGCCTTGTGCCAGTTGCATGCTGGGTTAGTCTCTGGCTCCCCTGCAATGCTCTATTGGAGAAATGCAGTTAAAACATGCATTGATGCAGAAGGCAAAGATAAATTTTAGTCTTCGATTAGTTATCCAGTAGGCAGATACCTCTCTTCTAGTACTGTACATTTAAGAGATCAATATGCATGCATTTGCAGAAAAAAACATTAAATTGGTACTACTCCAATTAGTAGTAAAGTGCTGATCCTGGCTAATATTACAGTACATGTGTTTTTACATGTGCTTTTTCTGCAAAACAAGGATCTGTTTAAATCTGTTGTGATTTTCTGATGTTTTAAATTTGATTTGAAATGATGTGAGGAACAGCATATACTATATCGGGATGAAACTACAAAGTAGAGAAAAAAAGTTCTTACTCAGAAGATAAGCTCAGGATCACACTCCTTTCTAATTTAGTAAAATCATTTGTTTTCAGCATTTCTGCCATCATTAGAAAAAATAATTCCTCTGGACATTTCTGAAACTGCGTGACATGCATCTTCTGTGTGAAACTATTTAAAAGTATCATAGGAGCAAGAGACAGAAGACATAAGACATTATGCTAGTCTGACTTTATTATAAGCTTTGTTTTTTCTAAAAAACTTCAGCAGTTATTTTGTTATAATCTACAATACATACTGTACATTATCAACAACTGTCTTTTATATTATGGGGTGGAAATGCAACATTTTCCTTGCAAGTAGATCCCGTGTTTTTGCAGACAGTAACCATATCTGTACAGGATTTTAAAATTTTCAAGGAAAAGATTTAAGGTTTAACAAAACCCATTTGTTTAATTCATGAACAGAGTGCTCACCAAGTCACTTCAAGTGCAACTCGGGAAGATGCGTCTTAGCCTCGAAGAGGTGTGATGGACACACAGACTGTGATGATGACAGTGATGAAGAAAATTGTGGTAAGTACTGAACTCCCCTGTTTGAATCAAGACATTGTGAGAGACACTCACATTGTAACAACACAAGCATCTCAGAGGAATGGGCAGACTGCTTTGATGCAAGATGGTGCTTGACAATTGTCATTGTTCAGTATCTCACATGTTTATTTAAAAATGTACAAAGACAGTAACAGTGGATTTGACACCCTGTATTAAGGCATGTGCTTAGCAGAATAAATCTACTTGGTTTAATGGTGATCAACACATACATTTTTTTCTAGATTCATTGTGTGAGTTGTATGTTATAGTTGGATCTCAAGGACCTTCTGCTACTAAGAAAACCTCCCAAATACTGTACATGTCTTTTTACTACCGTGTAAACTAAAGGAGTACATATATCCAAACATTTTCAAGCTGCATTATCCAGAACAGAGGGGGAGTCTATCCCAGCAAGCAATGGGCACTGGACAGGGTACACCCTGAACAGGACACAAGTCCATCGGAGGGGAAACACAGACACACAGACTGGGACCAATTTTAACCTGGCAGTATGTCTTTGGACTGTGGGAAGAAACAAGAGCACCTGGAGGAAACATGCACAAAAACTAAAAGAACATATGATCTCCACATACTGTAGATAGTGCCCAGGTCAGGAATTAAACCCAGGACACCCACACTGCAAGGCAGTAATGCTAACCACTGCGTCATCGTGCCACCCACCAAATTACATATGATTCTATAAATGTGCAGCACCAATGACTTGTCCTGGTGCTTGAATATAAGCAATACCAAGATAATCCAACATAATGGTCTTTAGTTTCATTGTCAGCTCTCTGATACAGTATGATTTTTATTTCTGAGAGCACTATAGGGCTTCCTAAAGGCCACTTAACATTCAGCTCATTAGAAGAGAAAGTGAAAATGAAACAAATATCATCCTGGCCAAGAAGAAACTGTCCTAGGAGGAAGACAGTTGAGTTTCTGAATTGGATTTATTGCCTGAGTAAAGAGATTTACAGTTTACTTGTAATAAATTGCCAGAATGTCTTCTAAAGAAACACAAATCAACTTCAGAGACAAACTTCTTCAGACAGCCATACTCTGAGACACAGACTATGAATTAAATTGACCCAGACTAATAATATTACAAAAGAACGTCTGGTGCTCTTTGAATACTAAATGATTCATTTGCCCCCTGCTTACAAATGTTGATATGCAGGAGAGTGGCTCATTTGCTTGTTTTCTGTAAAAGACTAGCTCTGGCCAGAGGTCAAAGTCACTAGTCTGCCCTCCAGAAATGCTGTTAACTGAGGTGACATTGAAGAGGAGTGTGTGTTTTTAGAGCTCAATGGTTCTATTTATTTTCATAATTCAGTTTGAGAGACTTTATTCGTAATGTCCACAATTTTATGGTATAAAATCATTGGGCGACACAACATCTAAATCAAAACTATGTCTAGAGCTTCTGAGAAGTACCCTTCAAGGGCATAAAAGTAGTGTCAAACCTGGAATGTGAATTTCCTTTTGTGTTATGTTGCTGTTCCTACTGTACATTCACAATACAGAACATTGTGTGGTGTAATGAAAATCAGTTGTTATTTTTCCAAGAATTATCAATTCTGTATTTTCTACATATAACCTGATTTAAACACATGATTAAGTACAAATGGAATGAGAAGAAAGAACTGTGGAACTAGCATTCCATTTTAATGCTAGCTACTCAAAATTTAAAACATGATAGTAGCTCCAGGTCAACCCTATAAGATGCCAGGGAATATGTTGTGGGCAGGGGTGGTACCTAATCTACCTCATTCCACCATCATGCAGGATGTTTTATCTTTGATCCGTGCTGAACTCACATTTTTACATCATTAAAAAAAAAAACATTGGAAGGTGGAAATACCATACAGTATCTACTTCTTTAGCTCTGAGTTATATGAAGAGCTCTTGCAAGAAAACCCAGAGCCACAGAAGAAAGGTACAATATAGGGAAAAAAATACCAGTGATCTATACTTATAGGAGCCTTCAATTAATGGGCCTGGAAAGGTGTGGCCACACAACAAATGAGAGCAAAAATCAAGCCCAGAAATCCAAGACCCTGCAGAGTCCCATTCAGCTTGAACACCTCCTGGGGACCTGAGATATGAGAAAATGTGTAGGGTTATCTGTGGAAAGGTAACAGGCCACTTACCATACAATATACAATATAAAATTTAATTTGAATATAAATCACAACATTAAAATGCAAAAAATACACGATTTAAAGCATTAATGTACATTACTGATGAAGCATTGTTATTGTATTTCTTTTTAACCAATATTGTGATTGAGATATTAATTCTAGCACATCAGGGGCCTCAAACCATTTTTTTTGGTTTAATAAGTATCTCTAATCACTGGCTTAAAAGTCTACTAATTCTTTGAAATAAAGTAAATAATACGTTCGGCAAAGTGTTAGAGTGGTATTCTGGAATGAAACTGTAGCCAGGATTTGGAGACTGCTGTTCCACATGTTATTTTAGTGCATAAAGGCAAATACACTACTTTTCCTTCACTTCTATAAGCAAATTGAATATATTTGGTAAAGGGGGGGGGGGGGGTGTTTCAGAGGACACACCTACCGTAAATATACAGATGAAATGAACGCATGGGAGAAGGTTGATCTTTCCTCTGGCGAAGAGTCAAAAGGAAACTGCACCCTCCTGTGCTTCATCCCTGACCTTTCTGTTACCAGGTTGTAAGGAACGAGGTCTGTGGGAATGCCCATCAAACAAAGCGTGCATCAGACATACAATGATCTGTGATGGATTTCCAGACTGCGCCGACCTGGCAGATGAAAGGAACTGCTGTAAGTGACTGTCAACAGGGTTCCAACTAGAGAGCATTTAAATAACTTCTGTGTGGGGGGGGGAGGTGTACTTGGTCAATCTAGTGGTATTTAAAACTATTCAAATTACACAGGAAGGCGTTGCTCACAATGTGCTGCGCTGATAGCTCTTTCGCTTAACCAGGCTAAAATGTCTCATCCCGCTACAAGTACATGCCACACTTTAAGCAAAGTAAAGACGTTTAGAATGATGGCATTTTCATTTTGTATTTCTTAAATCCTGGGTGCAGACTTTTTTTTTAAATGCCACATCAAGAGATTTTAGGTTGTGGTGCAGTGATGTACAGACCAGACCATGGGAGGAGCAGGTTTCCTTGGACAGTCATTTTTGTGTTTTTAACATTACACTTGTCCACCCCAGGTACTGTATGCCCCGTGGGTGGACAAGTGTAATACATCATGTGTCATCTAGTGTGTATGGGTGTTCTTCAAAGTCTCTTTTGTGTGCATAATGAATTTTATTGCTTCACAGTATAGTACATACTGTAGATTTTACAATATGGTTGTTTGAATAGGTCAGTTCCCTGACCTGAAAAGAATAACTACGGTATGCTGCCTCGTACTGTACATCTTTCTGTGGATTAATATTGTGCAGCTCTCCCAGTGTAAAGTGAATATGACTTACAGTACAGTACATGAAACCTTGGTGACATTTAAGAGAAAATGGGCTAAATGCTGTTCCTCTGGAGGTGCTCATAAATATTTTATCATTTAACTGTACAGTATTTGCACATTAAAGGCTAAAACTATAACCCAGTTAATATTGAAATGAATTCTATAAATTATTAGACATTATTAATACTGTATTAGGATTGAATGTTACATAAGAAACATCTAATGTATGTTCTTTTCAGGAGTGTCTAGTAACAGGAAGGACATTTCATATGCTAAATTAAACAGAAAAATGTATACCTGTATGCAGTAAATATAAAAAAAACAGTATCTACAAATTCTAATTTTTTATGTGAAAGTACTGACCTATTAATATATATTATTTTATTTCTTTTTAATAACATTCTGAAACTAACATTTATGTTGTTACGATGTGAATCATTTCCAGTATTGCAGTTTTACAATTCGATTAAGCTTTAAAAAGCTTAGCTTAGTGATTGCTGCATTTTCCAGGTCTTACTGTAGATTAGTTAAGATTTTACCTGTGGTGAAATACGATACTTGTAAAGGAGTAAATATGACCGATAGATATACAAGGGCATTTCGACCATTATTATAATGAATAGAGCTTCTCCACATCACTGTCAGCGTATTTATGAGTATCTTGTGTTTTACAGAATACCCAGTGTTAGAGGCCAACCTTGGTTGTAATAATGAAATTATACTTTTAGTTATGATGGTGGTAGATACTGTATGTACTGTCTTCAGTCTATAAACACTAATCAAAGTAGTTATTTGGTTGCTGTAGCTCATGTTGAACACAGTGCTATATCTTTGATATCTCCTGTGATTGTAATTGACTTTTTTTCAGCTTTCTGTGTTGATAATGAGCTTCCATGTAACAATCACAAGTGTGTTCATCGCACATTGTGGTGTGATGGCAAGAAGGACTGTACTGACAGCTCTGATGAGTGGAACTGTGGTAAGTCCTCTTTGACTGAGGTTCACTGTATCAGCATGCCTGTGTCTGAAGAAGGAGCTTAGTTTCTGAGCTGCAGCAGAAAGCCTTCATGTAATTCAGTGACTGTATGACTCAGTTCCTATGAAGCAGTTTTTGAACTTCAAAATAAAACTGTTTGTCGATTAAAAATATTCTCTTTTCTGCAAAAATAAACTAATTTCTGCTTTATGCGCTGCTTTATGAAGTGTTTGCTTTAAGTTTGTTTTTCTTAATCAAGCTGGGAGCTGTGCGTTCTTTTTTGCTCCTAAAAATACTTGTTGAAAGGAGAAAATGTATAATACTGTATTTTATTGTATTTTTTAATCCAAAATGTTGTTTTTGTAGATGTTCCAGCTGCAGTAATTGTAAATCATAATGGGATTACACTATGGTATACTGTAAAAGAATTTTATATTGAAACAGTTGACTTTTATTTCTACGACATAGCCCTCACATTCTTAATAATTCCTTTCCGAACATCAACAAGACATTTAACTCAATAATACAATAAATAAAAGCTATAAGCAAGTTCCCATCTACCAGTTTCAGTACCAGGGAAGAACTAGATCCAGAACGATTCAGAACTGAAGTCTGAGAGATGTACAGTATAGTACCCTTTTTATAGCACTCCTCTGATCTAGCCTACTGGAGCTCCAAACGTTTATACAGACTTTCCCTTTAGATTTGCCAGACTATAACTGTAAACTCTGTTTTGATATCTGGTGTACCATTACAGAACATAAAACAATACCGTTGTTGCTGGAAAGCAAAAGAGTAACAACAAGAAATGTGTAAACAGAAAAAGTTTAATACAGAAGGTGAAAAAATTGGCCAAATTTGTAACTTTGTCATTTCCTCCCATAGTGTCTCTTTCTAAGACACCTTCATCTCTACTGACAGTCCACAAAACCGCCTCAGAATACCATGTGTGTGCGGACAACTGGCATCACAAGCTGAGTGAGCTGGCTTGCAAGCAGATGGGTTTAGGGTAAGGTCAGTAGCTAATAGAAAAACCTCTGAAAACTGCCAGGTCAAGTGAATACTATATTATAGTCAGCTTTACCTTAACTTTGAGCCACCATGTTTAATGTTTTGTGGTTTTCAACTTGTTAAAATGCTGTCATGTATCATGCAAGTAGGAACAGAGCTCCAAACAATGATTTTCAGAATTTAAATAAAAAGTTTTCAATGCAGTGGGCATTAATGACATTTGATTATTTCCGGGTTAATACTTTACAAGCATTGTTCCTGTCTTCTTGTCTTAGGAGCAGTAAGAATATGCTTTGAGCAAACTTGAACTAACTGAAATGTCCACTGCCAGTTTTGAAACTTGCGGTTCAAAGTACTTCACATATGCCTTACGTCTTCATGTGTCAATCTCCCACAACTATTACAAATACAGTAGGAACATTGTTTTGTGGATTTCATGATGCAATAAATTGAGTACAGTGCAGATAATGTACAGACAGCTTCCCGAGAGGCAAGATGTAATGACGTGTTACAGTGGTTTACCACACTGTTCATATTGGTAGGCATGTAACAAAATAAAGCTACAATAAAGGTTCAATGAACAAACACAGGAATATTTTAATTTAGGGGGTGAAATACAACTTGAGTCCTGAACAAACCTCTTTTGCATTATTTGATCCTCCTTTCTGTGCGTGGTTTAACACAGGGAGCCAGCCGAAGTAGAGATGGTACCAGACCACCATCACCAGCTGGGGCGCAGGAAGTGGCTACATGTTCATGCTGACTGGAAGCACAGGAATGGTTCCTCTCTACAGGGGCTGTTAGAGAAAAAAGGGTAGGAGCATTACTGAAAACAGCATTACTAACGGGCTGTAATGGCACATTTACTGCTTGCAAATCATCAAGTGGTCACTGTAACCATAGAAATGACCACTGAATTAGACTACATACATTTTGTGCAGCCATTAATGTAGCAACAGTTTGTTGAATGTTCTCTTCTGTTTAAGTGGACAGTGCTTCAGGAAAGAGCATCCTGTTCTCAAGGATTGAGAGTCTAGGGAGTTTGTTCTCATTAAATCAGTTTACGATAATAACCTCAAAGCAATGCTTATTTGCCCGGTAAACAATTAATTTGATGGACAAGAGACTAAATAAAACAAAAACAAGTTGCTGCAGTAGAGCTTTGAGAACTGGAGAGCTGGATTTGTTCAGCCTTGAACTCATCATGTTATTTTGAATTGTTACCACTAGATGTCAGTGAAATACCAGGGCTGCAAAAATCAGTGGGTTTTTATAGTGTAAACTGTATATACTGTACAGTACTAATAGAATTGTTTAGTTTCTAACAAAAAAAAATTCATACAGATTTTCATCATCTTCATACTTTTCCTATGTTTTTGCAGACATACCTGTCATAGTCGAAGGAAAGTGTCTCTTCATTGTGTCAAAGAAGGTAAGCACAAAGAGGTACAAAATTTAAAAGCAGTTGAGTTTTTCCATAC